GAAGTTCACACGCGCATCAATCCATCCTCTCCATGAAGGCTTTCATGCACGCACTATCAGTGACACTGTCGTTGGTCATTGCACATTAATCAATGGGACTTCCTGGATGTAAGCATGGGGTTAGATGTATGCGTCTATGGGGGACAGATATGCTCCCGAGTAGGTTGACATATTGGTGTTAACGGAAGGCAGAAGGGGATGAGTGTCAGTGCTAGAGGTCATCAACAATACGCCTGCCTGTGGCTGGTCAATCTCGGATAAGGTGTTTGAACGTTCTCCCTAAGCACTCCTTTAACAGCTTTTGTCGAAAAGAGTTACCATTGTTTCGTATTCTGACCTGGCCGATAGCCGGTGTCCCTGCGCTAAATTTCCAGCGCTTGTCTGAGCAGTCCGCAACGTATCGAGCGCACAATATGTGATCGCTCCAAAGCGCACAGTACGAGTGGCACATTTAGGCCCCAGATTAGTATTTTGTCTGCTCGAAACAGTAGACAGCATGAAGATAATAATAATAATAGTAATAATAATAATAGACATATTTCTCGTCTAGTGAAAAGCTGTGAAAATATTTGGCACAAAACGTACACGTACAGGTGATGTCATGCTTTTGCAAGAGAGATATCAAGTTATCTTCTTATACGTGTCTGCATTCTCGGCAAGGTATTTACCCCATATGTTTGTCTTATGCGATGGTAGGAGGCAAATTTGCAGCTTTTGTATGTTGTGGACACTGAGGAATAATTGCATTGCGTGAAGTGGTGTTATTACACCCATTAGGCGCTATCTGGGCTTTTATTGAATGGATGTTCAAATGATCTTCTCCACGAAATGAACGGCATAATGGTGTCCAGGTAGAAGTAGCTTCCCAACGTATTGCGAAAGGATTATACAGTATCACACAACGTGGTGGTGAATGGCAGCAGATCACACAGAGAAGCATATGTGGTAAGACGAAACTTAAACCGCAATTTTGTCCTGCATCGTGGTATAATCAGGGCAATGTCTTTGTTACCTAGGTCTCGCGTGTAATTGTGCAGCAGTCTCAAGTTATCTTTTAGTCTTCGCAGCCAGAGCAGATCGAGATGGAATTGCTGACATCGCTCTCAAGAGTTTATGGCAGGAATTTTCCCAATACATGCCTAGTAAATGACCGTTGAGGGCTTTCTATCGGTGTGCTGTCTGATTTCCCCATCTTGCCTCAGATTATACTGCGATACTCTAGGATGAGACGATTAAGGATGTTAAATAGTCCAAATGTACCTATGATTGCACGCATGTTATGACAGATGTTAACGAAGGATTGTCTGGCTCGTCCTATCTGGTACTCAATCTGTGTTCTAAGAACATGAGGGCTCAAGAAAATCTGATTCCAAGGTCACGGATAGACCGTTGTACACAGATGCGTTCGCTTTAACCTGTGTCAAGCGGCCACGACATATGATACTTGACTGTTGTGCTTAAAACCTCCTCATCCACTTGTCGCACCAAGTCTCAAGCGAATGCATGTATTCTTGAATGAGTGGTAGTACATTCGGAAGCTCAAATCCTCGGTACTTGTGGACAAATGTTATATCACCAACAAATAAATACGGCACGCCATGTTTGTTAACCGAACTGCTATAATTGACACCAAGAAGACAAATTAATGTACCGACCGCACATCCTTGTTTAACCCCGCTGGTAATTGGACGCGGGGAAGAGCAGTAGTCGCTTAAGGTGACTATTTTAGCTGGACTGTACATTTATGATGATAGCCAACCCATTAATGTGTTCCGGACTTCAAGGAAAGCTATCTGAATCGGTAACAGTTTGTGAGGCACCCGATCGAATATTTTCTGCATGTCCAAGCATAGAATTAATATGGCATATTTTGAGTCAATGGAGTCTGATATGTGGTTCAGGTAATGCAGCTACCAGAATGTGTACGATCGTTAGTCAAGAAAACCATTTTAGGACCTGTCTATCAGGTCCAGTGAGTTAATGAAATTCCTCATACTTTTTTACCAATTTCATGAATAATCCGGCTATTACATGAGTGTTATGGCTTGGCCTGTAATTGTCAATCTCCAGTTTTGCGCACCCTTGTGGCAAGGGCTGATAAATGAAGCTTTCTATTGATCTGAACCAAGTGAAACACCAAATCTTTACAGACGGAGCAGTGACATATCAGTCCCTCCCAGTTTCATGACGGACAGGGAGTACCAACGGCTTCTAGAATTGAACACGGTTGAATAGAATGTGTTGCTTGGTGGTTATTGCGGAGAGCAATAGCACTTTAGGTGGACTCTTAGTGTAATTATAGCGTTAGTGTCAAGCTTCATGTAGGTGGAGAAGAACGAGCTAAATGCTTCACAGACGGCGCGTGGATGTCGTCCACCAGTTCAGTGATCAGTGAAAAACGTTTCTTGGTTCTTCGACTGAGAAATCTGACCAGATCTTTTGCTTTACATGTAATTTGTAGGGTTGCTTGACCTTCATGTGTTCTTCCCATCAAGTGCTTGGTTTCAGACATGAGTCGGTGCATCCGTGGAACAATTGCAAAATATCCTATCCTTTCATAGCGCGCGATCGACTTACTTGATTTTTGATTCATAGAACGTTCGGCTGCAACTTTTTAAACTTCGCTGATTCGTTATTCTTGTGCAGCAACGAGGGTTATGGCTTTCTGCTGCGAACGGCAAAATCTGTTAAAGGAGTGCTTAGGGAGAACGTTCAAACACCTTATCCGAGGTTGACCAGCCACAGGCAGGCGTATTGTTGATGACCTCTAGCACTGACACTCATCCCCTTCTGCCTTCCGTTAACACCAATATGTCAACCTACTCGGGAGCATATCTGTCCCCCATAGACGCATACATCTAGCCCCGTGCATACATCCCGGGAGTACCATTGGTTAATGTCCCATGACCAACGAGAGTGTCACTGATAGTGCGTGCATGAAAGCCTTCAGGGAGAGAATGGATTGATGCGCGTGTGAACTTGAATGAACAAAACGTTACTTTGATATTCTAACAAGCTAACTTACTAGCACTATGCGTGAAGTTGCCTGTAATGAGGTATAGAATGCGGCCGGCTATTGGAGCACGTTTGGGTGCTACGATTCTGTAATTGGATACTTGACTCATGAATGTAAATTTGGAACGGGACGCTATGGATGAACTAGCGCAGGTGGGAGAATAAGAAGACGGGATGGCCTTAGAAATGGCATCCAAACCCTTATCCTCCCGGATCGTACTAGATTATAGGCCGCCTTTTATTATCTTCTGTGACAGCCAGAGCATGAAGAGATTGTGAGGACGAAATGTCATGGTGTTTTTCGTGGGCAGGATACTGTCAGATGTCCCATGCCTTGACATGAAAACGGTTAGGATTCTTAACCAAAGCTTTTGGTTTAAAAACCTTTCTACAGTGCGGCGGGAGTTTTGCATTGGACTACAGAAATCGCGTTTTAGAGTGTATGGAGCCACCCTCCCTGCAGCCCCTATCCTGAAACGTCAGTAGACTGATTTTTGTGGCCTGTAACCGCCGACCACTCTGGTATGAGTGGCTCTGAAGGTTCAAAACACCCCGCAGCATAGCTCGATGCGTTACTGAGGCACACAAACTGTTGCACCACGTTAAGGTCCAGTCTCATCGCGATGGCGTCTCTACCGTCAGCTAGTCTAAGAGCACACACTATCTGACTCAAATGTTGCCTTTCTGGGCCACCATCGTTTCATATACTTTTGCAGTGTCGCGTTATTCACTTCGTCTCTCCCAAAAGTTCTCTACTTGCACTATTCATCCGTCGTAGTTTTTGCAATGCAAGCGGACTTTGCACCCCATACTTCCGTTAACACGTGGATAACCAATATTTTTTGTGGCCACTCTCTTTTCGATGACTAACTTTCCAACGTTTCACTTTCTCCTCAGTTAGCTTTATCTTCTTCTTTGCGTATGTTTTGTCGATTCAAATTTCCCTTACGGTGTTGCTTGTTCATGTGAGCTGTTTTGCGTTGTTAGACTAAGGCAGTTCGAACGAGGCTGCGGATCGCGGTGATGGCAGTTACCGGCTTTGTTGTTTCTCCATTACCTCTGCTCTTGTCATCCATATATGACAAAAAACGCATGCTAAGTGTGTTTTTAACTAGGTACCTGCCAAATGTCTACTTACATCGAATCGCCGATCTACACTATACTACCCATCAGACTGGCGTTACTAATGCTTAACTGCACCTACGGTACTGGGCTTCATTATTGCTACCTAACCTTTGTTCCCATTTACTGCTTAGAAGCGCCCTTTGGGACGACGCAGACAGTACCGATTCAAAAAATGTACTTCCTGGCCCTCTGGGTTTTACTACGCACACAGTCTTACTGATTTGTGTGATTGAGACTCATTCGAACGTAGTCAATGGTCCAAACTGAAATAGCTTGTTGCAATCCAAACAAACGACATACTCTCCATAACCCCATTGTCAGCTGTGAACTTGTTAACAATCACTCAACGACCACTACTTCCACCCCTATTACTATCCAGCCTCATCTGGCTAAGTAAAAACGTTTTCATGAAACCCAATATCCCCCATGTCCATCAGTGTTTCGCAACTGTTCCCAGTGTTACTAATATTTAGTTTACATTGCTCTCCTTAGATCGTTGTGTGTCGGGCGATGGTCGAGGTTATCGAGGCTCGGAGACCAATACAAATTGTCACCCATGGGATGCGACTGGCTATGTTCTGGCTTCAGGCAGCACTACTGACAGTGTCAGTTGGCCAGTGTTGGCTGCGCTCAATCCCCACGCATTCCCCTCAGTCCTGGGCGGGAAAACCAGTGCAACTTCGGCGTGTCGTAACCCGGCTGGATTGGCGCCTGCACCATTTTGCATTGGTCCCTCCTTGAACTCCCTACCGGTTGACAGCCAGATGACCGTCAGTAGTCCCAATCCTCTGGAATTCCGCATCTATCTTTGCTCAGAGATCCCTCACTGTTCCAGCTTATCTGCGTCGGTCTTTTGGAACGCTAATGTGGCCGTATCTAAAGAAGACTACGCACTCGCTCAAAGTACTGTTAAGACGCAGGTTGGTCCTTGAGTTAACTTGCATACGTTTGGCTTTCATTGTCACCACAAACGGTGGCAGAATAATATTCTGTCTTAAGTTTATTTTCACCCTTTGCACATTATCATACACTTCTCTTAGCATCTCGCTGACTAATCAAAGCCCATATCTACTGCTAAATCAACACGGTCGTTGTACGTTGTACGTCACTGATACTCTTGAACTCTAGTCGATCTGCACCAACAGACGGACGTTTGCGACATTGTTGCTTACACAAATTCCGTGGGCCATTTCTGTACCTTGGAAGCTTCCTGTGCCCTTATGCGCTTGCGTTGTCTGGTCAGGTGTACACAATCGGGCCATTTGAACACGTGAGGAGCTCTGAAGTTATCCGCTTCGTTGAGGTCAGAAGAAGGGAGACCATGCGTACACGTGCTATAACCCTGATGAGGATCCAGGCACGTACTCCAATTCAGCTGATGAGTTTGAACTGATGTCAGTCATATGTAGCAATATGGACATTTTGGGTCCAGATTATCATGGGCTTCTGTGGGCCCTAGGTAGCGCGAATTGTGTTCCTGTTATTACCAAGATTGAGCTCAGCACATTGTCTTGGGATTCGATCTCCACTGACCTTTCGGTGTGTATCGACACCGAAACAATTCCCTAATGGTTGTTCGGAGTCCGATAGGACGCTGATGTCGTCAACAGCAATTAATATAGCAGTATTCATCGTCAGGTGACTTCGTTTTTGATTATCCGAGTTGCAGTCTCTGGGGGCATATTCAGAAACGACAAAAGGCATATTGTCTTTCTGTGATGATGGTGGTAGTGGTTCGAAGTCGGATCGTGCACATGCAGCTGTTAAATGGGATTTAGTTGATTGCCTTCGGCATATTTCCTGAGAGCAGTATCGATTCGGTATCAGAGGTGAATATTCTAACTGTCGTCGACAAATTTTGAACCCAAATATCCGGAAGATTTGTTAGCAGAATAAGTATATGTCTCCTATATATACGAGAGGCTGTTCTCATACTAATGGCAGATGATTATCGCGATTATGATCATGCTCGTGCATGAGACATGTACCCAGTAGCGTCCGTGTTGTTAAGACACCCTGAAATGCACAGTTTTGTTGGTGCTACTTTTTGTGCAACAATTCTTATTAATAGCTACATATTTTTGTCTGTTTTTGGAGGGATTAATTTGACAGTTTTCCTGAGGAATATCTTATATGTGTGTTTCGCCGACCCACTTCACTTGAATCGTTAGGGAGCGAAGAGTATGCTAATGCTGCCTGTTTACCTATCTGACCCAGAGTTTGGACATTGGACGAAACAGTGTGAAATGAGATCCTCGTTTGAACCACGGTCTCGAATCATCGCGACTATCAGCTGGGAATTCATGGGCACTTCCTTGCTTGTTGACCGAAGCAGTAGAGAGGCGTACTGGATGAGGGAACGAGTATTGATGACATTGTCTTGTGGCCAGGTGAAACTGTCTAGCTACGCATTCCGAGAGGTTTTGCTCGAGTTCCCATATCTCCAGCTGTATACTCATCAGCTTGACACCGCCTCTCCTTCGTTTCCCACGCCCCTGTTCTTTTTGTGCCATAAACACACATCGCAATACACATAACATCTCAATAATGATGCAATCAGAGATCCATCTCCATCGTTGCCACCTCACAACACCCGGCCTGGTTTCGCAGCTTTTTAAAATGCCACTTGCGCACAACAGACCCTGCGCGTTGTTATTACAAACACTTAAGCGGGCTTGCACCTTGGTCCCACTTTATGTCAATAACATATCTGAGATTTTTCATTCACATTTAACTAACACAGCAAAAACACATCTGCCTCGATTTCCTTCTATATTTCAGGTGACAATCGCCTGCGTTCTTCTCGTCTGTCTCGTGTGTATCATCTCCATCCTCTCTGTACTTTGGCGTTCCAATCGTTGTTGTGCACTCCATTCAATGGATTCCGACCCTTGCTCCTCTGAGTTGGACGAGAAGACCCAAGTTACCGAGTCTGTGGATGTTACTAAATCGTGTAAATGGTCCGCCAAGGGCTTCGATGATGCTCCTGAACAGTTGTACGTTAGGCACCGGCTGCAGTGGGTGCGAAGGCGCCGTAGATTACGCCAACTGAATCCGGCTTGTCAATGTCTTCTTGGTTGTTGGTATGTGTTCACCGACTGGATCACGTGCAAATCAAACCAACCCCAGCCAGATCCGTGTTTACATCTGATGTCACCGGCTGGCTCCGGCGATAGTCCATATGATGCACCCGTTGCTTCCGTGCTGACACCAGATGACACAATTGACAAACCGGTGTCCAGCAGTCCGGGATGTTGTCTTCCTCTCGTGCATACAGTACTACTGAGCAAAAGCAGACGGAATCAATCCTCACCCAAGCAACCACATTCAACCAAATGCTGTCCACAATTCTCTTGGTTTACTAATTCGTTATCACACAGGACTGATGATGAATTTGAATCGAATGCTTTGCGTATGCACTTGCAAAAGTCGGTTGCTCGTGTTGCCAACGCCTCGACTTCTCCAACACGTGTTTCATCAGTCACCGGCTCCGGTACTTCCTTGGGCTTCTGCAAAAATTGCGCTTGCCGGACTGAATGTATGCGGGGTGGACGAAAACTTCCAACTACGTATAATAACAAGCGATGTCAGGTGTGTTTGCACGATGATTCAGAACATCTGCCGCTTCAGTATGGTGAACAAGATCCGGGTTCAGCTTTGACCAAATCCTCCTTGCGGCTGATCAACGCCGCTCCCTCTGATTTGGGCTCCGCCCTTATTCCTGGGAAGTTATTCAACATGGCTTCCATGACAAACTTGCTGCACCCTAAGTGAGTTTTCCGAGCTGGGGTTCAACTTTCTTGACTTGGGATTTGGCTACGCGGCGGCACATTTCCTTTTATGCAGTTGACATGCTTTTGCTTTATGAGAACAGGGAGCTTTACATTTGAAGAATGGCAGGAAGCTGTGAGCTGATGGGCCAGACGCAGGCTCATTCGATACATTTGGACTCATCAGTAACGTGCAGCCCTCTTGACTCTTTTGGGGTTACCATTTGATCCAGTCGAAATACTCCAACTCCCCTTTAGCTTCGTTAAGAGCAGTAAACGTGCAAACAGCTTATTGTGCGTCATGCTAAGTGGTGACTTAGCGCTGGAGAATCATGCACGCAATACGTCGGTAAGTGAGTCACGCAGGCTAATGCTTTCACTTACACTATTCGTGCTGTCCTTTGTCCGATTCCTGATGGATTCGAACGAACTATGCGCCGCCGGTGGCGTGTCCCATCAGGAAACAATGTGCGACCGGTGTCTGAAATAACTCGAAGTTCTAGTCATTTGATTTATTCGTTGAGCTGTTGTGTTGCTCACCACGTTTGGCAATTTGATTTCACGTTTACAAATCTATTTATGGATTACACTGGCTTTTACTTCACTTTTTTCATAATAATAGTAATACTAATAGTTTGATCTCGACTTTCCACGAGACATCTGTAAAGGTGTGATCATGGAATTCGATCACGATTCGATCGAAAATTACTGAGACTTATAAGACCAGTATGGAAAGATCGATAAGAATAAAAGTACTGTTATTGACCCAGGCTAGATTTTAACAAGCAGTAGGAAAATATTCTTCTAACTACAGTTCACGGTGGCACTGAGAACAATTAAATATATGCCTCATCTTCAAATCTCAAAGCTGGTCGAGAGTATAACCCCTTGATATCAGATTACGTCAACACAAAGAGTTGTTACATCGCCGTCCATCCATTTTGGATGGAACGTTGCCCGTGTTGTATCCTTCAAGAGGGACACGAAACAATGAACAATAAATTTATACGGGTTAAGAAGCGTTGCTTTACAAGTCCCGTTGGATAGTTGCATGAGATATCAACATAACAATAATGATGATAAGGATAATAAAATAGTTAATACTTTAAATATGAAAATAAGGACTTATCGTTTGCTTCGCTGCAGTCCTGCGATCCTCTTAGATTCACAACATCCACAGTTAACAACAAATAATTCCATGGTGAACACCAGGTGTAGGATGGAGACGTAGTGTTAAGTAACAAAGTGTAAGTGGATGAGTGCATCGTCCAACCGTCTTTTAAATACTGTTAGTGTTGGTGCAGAGACGACCGATTCCGAGAGAGCATTCCACGGGTGATAGACACGAATGGAAAAGAAATTTCTGCGGCACCCCAGACGACTGTATTGTTCTGCGAGTTTTAATGAGTGGCCCCTCAGGTTTGTATTGCTGCTGAGTTGTAGTAAAGGGCGGCACACATGATGTGGGTTTCGCAGAATCAAGTATGCCATAATCAGGTCGCCTCGTAGTCTGCGATAGCTTCCACTGAACAATCCCAGTCGTCGCAGCCTCTCCTGGTAGGAAAGATTGCGCATTCCAATTACGTTCTTAAATGCCCGGCGTTGTGGCTGCTCCAGTGCATTAAGGTTATGCTTTAGCCATGGATGCCAGGCTTGAATTGCATATTCGACATGGGGGCGAACATACGCATTAAGCATTTGTCGAAATATGGAGCTGTTTATTTGTCCAAACGCCCGCCTCAACAGCCCGACGTGTTGGTTCCCGGTCTTCGAGGCCTTTTCGGATTGCCTGAAGCAACCCAAGTCATCTTGAACCAGGACACCCAAGTCACATTCGACAGTTGATTGTTGTAGTACATCCGTTCCGAGTCGGTATGAGTAGCTGCTTTGATGTCGGATGGAAAGCACCTTGCATTTACTGACGTTGAAATGCAATAAGTTTTGGGTCGACCATTAATACACCGTATCTAAATCACTCTGAAGCAAATGTTGGTCGGTGTTCGCCTGGATCCTGCGCCAGATCTTGATATCGTCGGCAAACATTAGGAAGTTTGAAACGATTCCCTGTGCAAGGTCATTAATGAACACCAAAAACAAACGTGGACCTAGAACCGAGCCTTGCGGTACACCCCAGTCAACTTGTATGGGATTTGATAAAGAGCTCCGAACTCTGACCACTAACTGCCGTTGAAATAGAAAGCTGACGATCTAGCTTAAAAGAGGGTCTCCGATCCCGTAATGCTGCAGCTTGGATAGTAGTATCCGATGCTCTAGACGATCGAAAGCCTTGGAAAAATCCAGGTAAATCACATCAACACCTTCTCCAGCGTCGGCTGCCTCGGTCCAACTACTGCGTGCAATGAGTAAATTAGTTGTACATGACCGTTGTCGACGGAAACCGTGCTGTTCAGGGGTGATGAGGTTGCAGTTTTTCAGGTAGCACACCAGAGCCAGGCGACTTCTGGGGGTTCTTCTTCGAGGAAAGACCATGTTGTGGCGCTGACTAGCTGGGCGAGTCGGTCGTACCTTGTGATGGTTCGCACAGTATCACCTTTATCCTTCCGATATTCTGCATAGCAGACGAAGTTGAAACTGATGACTGCGTGATCACTGCGACCAAACGGGCAGTCTAACACCAACGCATCAATCATATGCTCCTCGTTGGTAAGCACAAGATCCAACACAGATGGCCTGTTACCAGTTCTGAACCGAGTGGGCAAAATGATGTGGTTGTAAAGAGGAGCAGTAGTTACTAGATCTTGTAAATCGGTTTTGAATTGTTCTCCGATCGTGGCAGGGGCTTCTAAACAATGTACGTTGAAATCACCCATGATAAGAATGTGAGTGTACTTTTGTTGTAAACTGCACCTTAAAGCAGCCGCTAAGTGGTAGTCGATTTCGGGTGTTGAGTTAGGGGCGCGGTACACCAAGATAATAAGGCAAGCGTCCCTGCCTTTTAACTGCAACCGGCACCAAAGAGAATCAGGGAACTGCGAATCTGAATCCTCCACGGCTTCGCACTGTAAGTCGTTTCGGTAGTACAGGATTACCCCTCCTCCTTTTGTGAGCCTATCGTTCCGGATCTGCGATATGCCCGGTAGCGAAACTTCGGCCTCCGTCATTCCCTTGTGCAACCACGTCTTGGTGATACCAATGACATCATATGACCTGGAAGCTTGGCGATCTTTCAGTTCAGCCAGTTTGTTAGAAAGTCCCTGAGCGTTTGTATACAAGCAGGCCAGTTTCTCGATCTCTAGGAGCCAGCAGAGAGGTGAAGCTGTCAAGTGTGGGAGAATGCCGACCGATGAGAGGTCGGCAGTTATTCGTTTTTTTGATGGGTCAATGATACCTCCTTTGCAACTTGATTCGGCCAAGGTGCGTCCCAGCCTTCGTTTAGACCTACTTCAGAGTCAATTAAAGCAGCAGTCAAGTTACACTTCTGTACATCCGTCGGTATGCTTGCTGCTTCAGTTGCTTTAATACTTGAGCTGTGCGAATTGTTTGCGACCTTTAACTGAATTTCGGAAGGAAGATGTTTCCGATTTCTTCGCCATCGATCCAAAACATCCTTTGCTTGTTGCTCTGACTGAACCAAAAGTTTTAGGATTCTAGGGCCGCATCCTCTATAATTCGATGAGAGGGGTATCCTGGTGAGCGATAGTGCCACAACATTATCCAAAGAAAGTGTTTCGCGAATGAACCGCCACTGTTCTAAATCGTGCTTTCCGGTCTCTTGAACATCGTTAGAAGGATGTTCTGGCACGCCATATATGAAGATTGTGTTTAGGTGGTCTTGCTTGCTGTGCCCCTCTTCGGTGTTTCGTTTTGGTTGTCGCGCGCTCCAAGGGACATCAGGATAGCTACGTATCCCACAGGATTCGTGTTTTAGCGCGCTTGCGGAGAGCAAAACGTTTTCTACGTCAGTGGAGGATTCTAGAGTTACTCGAATAAGTTTGGGTTCACCATAGTGTGGCGAGTTCGGATGACGAGTAATTCGTAACAAGTTTATGGGCTAGGCTTTGCTACTCATCTGCATACACAATGAATTCCATTGATCTTGGTCGTCTGATAACTTATCCCGCAATGTGATGGCGGTAGATGCAGACCATACAACAGTCCGGGCACTGTTGTTGGATCCCATTTTAATCAATCTACAAGGTATGGTACTCATTTGTCCTGACTTGTTGACAAGTGATTGTTTGCTCTTTTTCTCTCCATTTGCGGTTACGGTGTTTAAAATGGCAGAGGACGCAACGGCGGCCTCTCGGTGGACCTTTGCAGAAATCTCTGCATAAGTAACTGGTGTTCTGGGAGGCTTAGTCTCAACAAGAGATATTTGAGCTACAGGTACCAAGAGTTGGTGTTTGGCTGCTTCATCCTTGTTAATGCAAGATGTCAGGTCTAGTGGAATTTGCTTAACCAGACGTTTTGAATGGTGCCTGATTTTCGTTGCTGTGAGTAATGTTTGATTCACATAGGTACAGTCTGTTTTTGCCCGGCGTTCTACCAAAGTTGGAGAAGACAACGGAGATGGAGACGTGGCTGATTGCGGTGCAGGGGAAGTGGATTGTTCAGCATTCCGTTGCTTAGCAGCCGCTACGCTTCTGTGGTCCATACTCGCTTCCATTGAAGTAATCTTATCGTGTATCCTCTGCTCTGCTTCTGCGATTAACCGGTCGCATTTCTCAGCTAGGATAAGCAAGCACTTAACGAGGGGGATGGTGGAACGCGCAGTACGGAACCAAAATGCATCTTTGGAGCTATTTCGCTCCCGTAACTGTTGTTGGGACACATTTGCACATTTCGTATGGTACCATTCCAAACAGTGCGAACAAGCCAGACCGATTTTTACTACTATATGGCATTCTCCTAACCCGCAAATGCCTTTCGCTTGGAGTCTCTTCGGTTTCGCCTTTCTGCCATTCAATTTGGTGTCGTTACTTGAGCCAGTGGGTTGGTTAGCGTTCTGTACTTTTACAGCTTTGAGGGTGGCGCACATC